CCCCAAAAAGGAGAAATAAAACGCGGCTCCACTTTTTTTCCCTTCCCCCCCCCCACCTCCGTGTAGAAAACGATTCACAAATTTACGGAAGAGTCCGAAATTATTTATTTCTTTTCCTCCGGAATAGCTGGTTCTTCTCTTTCCTATGTCAGTGCTTCTGTGTGCTCTGCTGCAGCCGGGGGGAAAAAAAAAAAAAAGGAAGAGGAGAAAGAGAAGAGAAAAGAGAAGAGAAGAAAAGAGAATAAAAAGAAAAAAGAGAATAAAAAGGAAAAGGAAAAGGAAAAGGAAAAGGAAAAGGAAAAGGAAAAGGAAAAGAAAAAGAAAAAGAAAAAGAAAAAGAAAAAGAAAAAGAAAAAGAAAAAAGAGAAGAAAAAGAAGAGAAGAGAAGAGAAGAGAAGAGAAGAGAAGAGAAGAGAAGAGAAGAGAGAAGAAGAAAAAAGAAAAAAAAAAGAAGAAAAAAGAAAATAAAGAAGAAAAGAAAAGAAAAGAAAAGAAAAGAAAAGAAAAGAAAAGAAAAGAAAAGAAAAGAAAAGAAAAGAAAAGAAAAGAAAAGAAAAGAAAAGAAAGAAGAAAAGAGAAGAAAAAAGAAGACAAGAAAAGAGAAGAAAAGAGAAGAAAAAAGAGAAGAGAAAAAGAGAAAAGAAAAAAAAAAAAGAAGAAAAAAAAGAAAATTGAGAAAAGAAAATTGAGAAAAGAAAAGAGAAGAGAAGAGAAGAGAAGTGAAGAGAAGAGAAGAGAAGAGAAGAGAAGAGAAGAGAAGAGAAGAGAAGAGAAAAGAGAGAAGAAAGAGAAAAAGAAAGAAGAAAAGAGAAGAAAGAAAAAAGAAAAAAGAGAAGAAAAGAGAAGAGAAGAAAAAAGAGAAAGAGAAGGAGAAGGAGAAGGAGAAGGAGAAGGAGAAGGAGAAGGAGAAGGGAAAAGCTGGATTGTTTCTGGTCTGTTTAGATACAGAAATGCTCGCGTCCAGAGCCTGAGTTTGAGTTTCAAGGCGCCGTTTCAGTACCGGCTGTGACTGTTTCCTCGGCCCCTCAGCCGGGCTCGGACTTTATTGCCGGTTTTCTGCTGGGAGAGCAATTTGTTTCGCACCCGGAGGGGAACGCTCTGCCCTCCCCAACGCTTCCAAAGTGAATCCAGCCCAAATTTGGGGTGAGACGAAGCGCTCCGGGGGCCGGGGGGGTGGGAAAGAGCAAGAGCCCTCAGCCCCGTCCCCGAACGAGCCGCTTCTTGTTTGATTTCTCTCCTTCTTCAACCCCCCAGAACAAAGTGAACAACTTCCACCGTTAACACGAAAAAAAAAAGGAAAAAAAAATTAAAAGAAAAAAAAAAAATCCACTCCACCCTCCCCCAAATCCACCGCTGAGATCGAACAATAGATCCTGAAAATTATTCCTTATTTCTCCTCCTCTATACCGTGGTTTCATTATTTAATCTCTGATGAGATGAGATTATCTGTACCCTTTAGTGAAGGCAGCAGACGTCTTGAAACTGGTTTAATTGATTTATCGTTTTGTTTTTGTTTTGTTTTGTTTTGTTTTTTTTTCTTTTTTAAACAGAAAGTGCATTACATTGAACTGGTCTTGCAAAGGGCTTCTCTTCTCTTTACAAACCGAATGATTTTTAATATAAATTAATAAATGTTAAGATGCTATATCACGATATATCATCGTTATTAGCTTTTTTTTTTAAAAAAAAAAAAAAGGAAAACAATTTACATTCTATAGTATTCCGTATGATACAAAAGAAAACACACTTTAAATTCAATTACAGCAACTAAATGAATTTTATATTTCGACTCAAAGTGGTTGTGACAATTCCCACCAGCTACTTTTTTTTTTTTCTTTCTTTTTTTTTTTTTTTTGGAACAATAAATTGGCTTAAAATATAAGACAATACCAAATAGTTATTACTCCTGTGGGGAGTTAA